TGAAACATGTCCCAATGAGTTTCTAAGAGGGTTTTCTTCCAAGTAAACAGGAACAGCATCAAGTGGCAAAACTTTTGGTCTGGAAAAGGGTCTTCGACAACCAAGGAACTGCTACGTTCAGCCTGGAATGTGATCCAGGAAAAACAAATCCCAAACCCTACCAACCTAGGTTCCCATCTGCATTTGAGTATCAGGGAGAATGAAATCTCTCCTCAGAGGAATGGGCTGACAGCAGTAAGGCAACAACTGTTCCTTCAAAAAGGTTCCACACATTCTGAGAATATTTGAAACTGGTTTTCTTCTAGGTTATTAAGTTAATTATGTTATCAGTATAATTATGTTTTATTTGTTTATGTTAATGGTGTTTATATTTGTTGGAGCACCCGGTGGCACAGTGGGTTAAACCCTTGTGCCAGCAGGTCTGCTGACCAAGCTGGTTGAGCTTCCTCTATCAGCTCCAGCTCCCCATGCAGGGACATGAGAGAAGCCTCCCACAAGAATGGTAAAAACATCAAACATCCAGGAGTCCCCTGAGCAACGTCCTTGCAGATAGTCAATTCTCTCACACCAGAAGCGACTTGCAGTTTCTCAAATCGCTCCTGACATGGAATTTCTGTTATAAATTCAGTTATTATTTTGTATTATTTAGTATTATTTTGATGTGTTTGTATTTGTTTAGGGCATTAAATGTTTGCCTTTTTGTACGTGTAAACTGTCCTGAATCCCCTTGGGGAGAGAGGGTGGTCTATAAATAAAGCATTATTATTATTATTATTATTATTATTATTATTATTATTATTATTATTAGATGTCTTATTTGACTATTTGTTGTTTCCCCCACACTGCAGTGAAATTCAGACATACACAAATGTTGCTTCTCCTCCTTCATCCATTTCTTCCTTTTGCTAGTCTTCTTCCCCACAGGTGTTCTCATCTACTCCTTTACAGTGGGATTATTTTGTCTCAAGCATGGTTGTGATATGTCTGCTCTCTCCATCCCCATGCTGCCTGCATCCCGTCTCTTACCATGGCCCTATTTGCTCCCTCTCCTCCCTTAGCTCTCCCTCCCCTGGACTCCCCCATTGCAAGAAACCAGAAAGTGAGAATGGGGGGGGGGGGAGGCAATGTCACCAACACACATGCGCCAAGCTCCCTGGCGTGCCCCTGGAGAAGCCAAAAAAAGAAAAGAGGAAAAAAGAGCATGTGGAAGTGTGCTTGTGACTTTCAACCATCCACTTCTGCACTCAGCATGCAAAGTTTCCCCTGCTTTTTCTTTTCTCTTTTCCACAGGCAGAAGGCATCCATGCTAAAAAGGTGCCATTTATGTGAGATTAACAGTACACTTTGCTTATGTGAGTGTGGCATTCAAGCAGACAAGAGTTCTTTCTCCCACCCTGGACGTTCCACAGATATATCAACCCCACTTGCCTAGTTTCCAACAGACCTCACAACCTTTGAGGATGCTGGTGAAACGTCAGGAGAGAATGCTTCTGGAACATAGCCAAATGGTCTGGAAAACTCACAACAACCAAGCAATTCCGGCCATGAAAGCCTTCAACAGTGCAAGCTCTGTAACAGTTCTCAAACACAGCTGACACATGTTTCCTCAACATATGGATGAGACCAAATTGTCGCCCCAAATTGTTTAGATTATAGCTTCTAGCATTCTGGGGCAACAGTAAGCAAAAAAATTTGCTAGGGCAAAAATTATCACCCTCCCCTAATTAATGACATTGATAAACCAAGGGTGAGCAATGGTGGAAGTTTAGGTATATTGCTCCTACAACTCCCATCATATCCCATAAGGGTTATGGGATATGCATTTTCAATGGTTGCAATTGCCCATCCTTATGATAAACTTGGAGACCATATCATTAAGGCTAATGGACTACATCTACTCCTTTGTCCAACCCCCTCCCCCCAAACTTGATACTGTTCTAGCCTTTCCGTATTGGCTATCTGTTTGGGGTACATAACTCCTTGAGGTTGGCAATTGCAATCCAGGGAGGGCAGAACTATTCTGTTTTTGATATTTTCTCAAGGCTTAGAAATAGCAATACCTAATATATGTGTGTGTGTGTGTGTGTGTGTATATGTACACCTATTATATATATACACACACACACACCCCAATTACAAATCGATTTTAGAACCAAATTTTTCTTGATCAACCAGCCCTAATATCTATATCTATATCTATATCTATATCTATATCTATATCTATATCTATATATAATAAAGAAGAGTGTTTGTATCGGACAGAATTGTGGAGGGAGGGCGGTGTATGTGGCAGCGTTCTGATTGGCTGCCGCTGTGGTGCTATTTGCATATGGTCTCTGATTGGCCAGCTTCATAGGAGCCCCTGGTGGAGAAGAGGGTTCATGGCAGAAACGGGGCATGACAGAAGGAAATTTGCATATGGTCTCTGATTGGCCAGCCTCAAATCCAACATTCCGAGATGACAAAGAGAGGAAAGGAAAGGCCGGGGCCTGGGTCAGAACACTCCCAATACAGATCGAAATAGGCACACAGAGCCCCCATCACCCACTCTACATCCTACTGCAGTTTGGAGGACTATGAACCATGGATGATGGGACTTGCAGTACCACCACTCACATTCTGAGACCGCTGTTAACCTCATCCAATGACTGATCAGGACCAAACTTGGCACAGAGACCTCTCATGACCCACTTTACGTCCTGGTGTGGTTTGGCGGGGGATGGACCATGGATTATGGGACTTGCAGTACCATTGCTCAATTCTTGAGACCACTGCAACCCTCATCCAATTACCGATAAAGACCAAACTTGGCAAGAGAGCCCCCATGGCCAACTGCGAACTTTATTGTGAAAAGAAAAAAGGCGGTGGGGGGGGCGATCGTTGCGGCGGAGAGGGCGAGGGGGAGGAGGGGAAGGAAGAAGATAGAGAAAGGAGAGGAGAGGAAGGAGAAGGAAGGGAGAAAGGAAGGGAGGAGGGAGGAAGGAAAGAGAGAGAGAGAGAAGGTTCCCTCCGTCCTTTTCTGTCGGTTCCCTTTTCTCGAAAAGGGGAAGGGGGAAGGGG